GTGTGTGTGTGTGTGTGTGTGTGTGTGTATGTGTTGTACAGTATTAGGGCATAAGAGCTTGTCAGGTCTCATAAAATCAGTTGAATTGGGGACACAGCGCTGTCACTGTCTGTTCTCTTCTCTTCTGCTCAACTTTCCTCAGATAAGCCACTCAACTGCTAGAGTCATTTAGGACACAGAAATCATTGTGATTAAAAGGTCTTAAACAAATGAAGGCCATAAAAAGGTCTTAAATCTGAGCAGATCATGGCATTATATGTTGCATGCATTGCTAAAAATTAACATCCTCCTCAATATTTTTGTCTTGTTTTCCATTACAAACATCGAAACATCCTTAAATCAAGATACATTTTCTTGAGATGCAAAATGAAGATGAAATGCATTTTTCATTGTCATGCTCTGCTCATCTTTTAGTTGACCATGTTGTGCCTGAACTGGGAACTAGTTTACTGGCAGCGTATGACCAGTGGAGGGATACGGCGCACAAGAGGTCATGCTGTGATTACTCTCTGCACATTGACATCACTCGCTGGCATGATGGGCTGTTTGAGGAGCTGGAGTATCTGGTCAAAGATAAAGGTGATGTGAGATTTCAGGTGTGACTTTGATATTTTTGCTTTCTGCGTATATTATGTTTCTTTTTATCTAAACAAAAACACATTCTGCATTCAGCTCCAAAAAGATAAATGACATTATAACAACACAATTTCTCTTTTTAGGGGTCAACTCCTTCCTGATCTTCATGGCTTATAAGGACAAGTATCAGAGCTCTGATACACAGGTATATAAAATAATACAAAATAATGTTTACACTACAGTTCAAAAGTATGAGGTCTGTAAGATTGTTTTTAATGCTCACCAAGGCTGTATTTATTTGATCAAAAATTCAGTAAAAACCGTAATATTGTGAAATATTATTACAATTTAAAATAACTGTTTTCTATTTTAATATCTTTTAAAATGTTATTTATTCCTGTGACGCAAAGCTGAATTTTCAGCATCATTACTCCAGTGTTCAGTGTCACACGATCCTTCAGAAATCATTCTAATATGCTGATTTGCTCCTAAAGATTTTTTTCAGGATTCTTGGATGAATAGAAAGTAAAAAAAAAAACTGAATTTAAAATAGAAATCCTTTGTGACAGTACAAATGTTTGACTTTGATCAATTTAGTGCATCCTTGAGGAATAATACAAATATTAATTTCTTAAAAAAAAAATCTTACTGACCCCAACCTTTTGAACACTTAGCAATGTAGGTTTATAGATCCTGTTTCCAAGAACTAACACTCTCTGTGTCTTTAGATCTATGAGATGTTTAGTGCCATGAGGGAACTGGGTGCCATCGCACAGGTTCATGCTGAAAACGGTGACATCATTGAGGAGGTTGTTACCATTAATCTACATTACTTCAATTGTTAATGCATTTCAACTACAGTATATTCTTTTACAAAATGTACCAGTTTCTTTCCTTTCTCTATACTTAAATGCATTCTTGTGTTTGTTTGTAACCTCAGGAACAGAAGAAGCTTTTGGATCTGGGAATCACTGGCCCAGAAGGACATGTCCTAAGCCACCCGGAGGAGGTTTGTCTTAATGGTTCGGGTCTGTTTAATTCAAAATCTGTTCTACCGCTGGTTAACATCAGCATTACTTCTGCTGTTCTTCTCTAGGTGGAGACTGAGGCTGTGTATCGAGCCGTCACCATTGCTAAACAGGCCAACTGCCCTCTCTATGTCACAAAGGTGATGAGCAAACCAGCTGCTGATGTCATCGCCAAGGCCAGGAAAAAGGGTACGAGAGTTGATAGAGCTCTACAAGACTGTAACAGAAACACAAAGACTCAAATGTTTGTGTCATGTGCATGGATTCATTTTCAGGCATGGTCATCTATGGAGAACCAATCGCAGCCGGCCTGGGCACGGACGGATCGCACTACTGGAGCAAAAACTGGGCCAAAGCTGCTGCATTTGTCATGTCTCCTCCTCTCAGCTCCGACACGAGCACTCCGGATTACCTCAGCTCACTGCTGTCCTGGTAAGCAGCTCAAATCAGGCCAAATACCAGCTTTTCACTTAAATTTTCAGCAGCATATGCTACAGATTGGGGTTGGTACAATTTTTTTTAATGTGAAAGAAGTCTCTTATGCTTAGCAAGGCTGCAATTATTTGATCAAACATACAGAAAACAGACAGTAATCGTGTAAAATATTATTTCAGTTTAAATAACTCTTTCTATTTTAAAATGTTTTAAAATGTAATTTATTCCTGTGATGCAAAGCTGAATTTTCAGCATCATTACTTCAGTCTTCAGTGCCACATGATCTTTCAGAAATCAATCTAATTACATGCTGATTTGCTGCTCTTATTACTATTATTATTATCAGTGCTGAAACGTTTTGCTGCTTCATATTTTTGTGGAACCATTACATATTTTTTTCAGGATTCTTTGTTGAATAGAAAGTTCAAAAGAACAGATGTATTTGAAATCTAAATCTTTTGTAACGTTCATATACATTGTCATATAAATGACACTCAAATATATGACACTGTGTGTGTGTGAAGTTCAAAAGAACAGATGTATTTGAAATCTAAATCTTTTGTAACATTCATATACATTGTCATATAAATGACACTCAAATATATGACACTGTGTGTGTGTGTGTGTGTACAAACAAATATTATAGTATAATAATTATATATGAGATATATATATAGAGAGAGAGAGAGATTAATTGCACTCTTTTTAAATATTTTGAAGTTGAAGATTAAAGGCCAGATTTACTAACAGCTTGCATCAGCACAAATCCTTTTTTTGGAGTTAAAAAACTACTGTCAGGATTTACTAAAGACACTCCGAGAAAAATTTGCACTAAAAGTAGCTGACCTTATTGCATATGCATTTATAGGAGTTTCCATTTCACATGCTAAATTTAAAGTACTTAATGAATCATGCAAGGTGATTTACTAAGGTTTGGTAGTCAGTTTACTGGTGTTTGCATCATTTTTTAACACCCCAAAAAAATCATGTCTTAACTTATTTTGCGCCTGTGTTGTTAGTAAATCACACACTGCTGATTATCTTCGGCTCTGCTAGTTTGCGGCCCTACACTAATGGAAGAAATTATAGTCTGCCTCGACCCAGCTTCCACTCCAAATTGTGTATTAAACTATGCTCCTTTCTCTACAAAGAGCTTAATTATCATATAGATAGTTCTTTCCGATCTTAATCATATGTAAATAGTACCTCCGGAGCGATAATTTGTCACTTATAGCGTGGGAGCAGCAGCAGGCCGTCAAGAACCATCTGCTGACCAAAAGGGTACATGAAATAACTGCTATGGATTCTGTTTAATCTTATCACCTGAACATTTGGTTGTTCCCACTTGAGTCTACCGAAGATGTGGGAACGGAAGGCTATCACTTTCATTGTCATCCGCAATTTACATTTAAAACGAAACTTAATTTACATGTTGAGCGGGAAGATGAACGTAATACAGTATAAAATGATTGAGCTTAGGATGTTCGGGGTTCAGTCTGACTCCGTTGAACCCAAGGTACTACATGTACTTTGTCACTACTATTCTGTAATAAAAGTTATTCTTCATCAAGATCTTCGACGTCTTCACTTTTTCTTACACTAATTTGCGCTGCTCTTGTTAGATTGCATTGGTCTTAATGGAAATGATCTTACTACATCTGTGTTCTTTAATTTGCACATTGACAGTAGAACAAGAGCTTTTGACTCTCATCTGCGCTTTTTAGGGATTGCGGCCTAATTTGCTCTGCTTAGTAAATCTGGCCCTTAGTCTTCAGAAAGCATTACACTTACTGACCGTCATGAACTGTTTCAGTGGGGATCTTCAGGTGACGGCCAGCGCTCACTGCACCTTCACCACGGCACAGAAAGCTGTTGGAAAGGACAACTTCACCCTCATTCCGGAGGGGACCAACGGCATCGAGGAGCGTATGAGCATCGTCTGGGACAAAGCTGTGGTAGGCCTCACAATACAGTCTCTCTTTCTCAACTAAATAAAAAAATAATGCATGTAAGATTTAAAAAAAATATTATATACTTCAACACTGCAAACCACACTGCAGCTTTAAGTTTGCATTTTTTGTGATATTTGGATCCTCTATTAGCCATTATGTCATGAATTCCCAGGTCAGAGTTCAAACATGAACAGCAAAAGAGCTTCTGTGCATATGCTTGCAACTTCCATTCGTATGTGACAGTGCATTGTCTTATTCGCAGTTTCCAATAATGTTTTTGTCACATAGGCAACCGGTAAAATGGACGAGAATGATTTTGTTGCAGTAACGAGCACAAATGCTGCAAAAATCTTCAACCTGTATCCTCGGAAAGGCCGAATCGCTGTAGGATCGGATGCTGACATTGTCATCTGGAACACCAAGGAGACAAAAACCTTTTCTGCCAAAACTCACAATCTGGTATGAGAATTGCAAAAAAAGATAACCTATTAACAATGGTATTTTTATTCATCCCACGTCACTGTACTTACCTAACTATTGGTTTAGAGTGGAAACAGTTCTAGTCTTCTACAGCTGGATTCTGTCTAAACTCATCAGAATTCTGTTAAGTCCTTGTAATATTCCATTGGAATTTTGTGGATGTGAAATGTAAAACTCCTTATTCTGATCTATGTTTCGCCGCAGACAGTGGAGGTGAATATCTTTGAGGGAATGGAGTGCCGAGGTTTCCCTGTGGTGGTCATCAGTCAGGGCAGGATCGTTCTAGAGGACGGGAAACTCAATGTGACAGAGGGTTCCGGCCGCTTCATACCCAGAAAAGCCTATCCGGACTTTGTCTACAAGAGAATCAAGGCTCGAGGCAGGGTAAGAATGTCTGTGTGATTATGAGTGTTGACTTACTCAGCACAGTTAAATAACCGATTGAAATCCCTCACAGACTTTTCAAGTTTAAAAAGATGTACATTTTTATTATTTAAATTTTTTTTGCAGATGGCTGATGTTCGTGGTGTTCCTAGAGGAAACTATGATGGCCCCGTTCATGATGTCATCAGTATGACCAAATCTGTGCCAGCCACTCCCACCACTAGAGGGCCCTCATGTCCAGGAAAGACCCCAGGGGGACCAGCTAGAAATCTGCACCAATCTGGGTTCACTTTATCTGGTAAGCACCTTTGATTTTGATGTATTTGTTGTAGTATAAAACAGTAGGGTTCTAGAAGTAAATATACCATTTGTTTCCATTTGTATTTTTTAATAATAATACTATGCATTTATTTACTTTTTACTGTACTGTTTAACTGAATCTACATACAGTATAGGCCTATACAGTTTGGGCTATAGTGATAATAAAATGTAAAAAAAGAAATTAAACGTGGGGTGAGCGATTTTTCAAAAACGCTTTAGAAAACTGATTGGGGCCGAGTAGCAAAACAAACTCGTAGCCAATCAGCAGTAAGAGGCGTGTTTACTCATGATGTGGAGGAGAGAGCGTTCAGTGCACAGGACAGACATTAGACGAGCCGAGCGACAGAAAGATAGAGATGGCGGATAAAAACATTGGTTTTGCTTTGTTTCACAGAACTAATCGTTGCCTGGGTTGCGTACGTATGTGTGGGGCGGAGCTATCACAATAGGGGTGAGACCCTTTTGGAGTAGGGGCGTGTTTGTTTTGGTGATTACAAATGTCAACATTGGCTACCAGAAATCACTTACCCCACCTTTAATACTTTAAGATCTTTATAATATTTCTTGATCACTGAATCAACATATTCGAACTTGTGAAGGATCATGTGAAATATTAAAATATAATAAAAAGTAAAATTTTAAATATTTCACGATATTACTGTTGTTACTGTATTTTTTATCAAATCAATGCAGCCTTGATTAGCGTAAAAGACTTCTTTAAAAAACATTTTGCCAACCTCAAACGTTTGATCGGTATATTTATATAATTAACAATGTTTACTTTTAACTATTTAATTTGCTATATTAACATGCTATGTTTAAGTATTTGAAATTAAGCACCTTGTGAATGGGACTGGTACTTAAATCACAATACAAAAATATATTTAAAAATTATGATGAGAAAATAAGAAAATGTAATTTTAATCATGAGAATCTCTTGTTGTGATCATGAAAAAAAAAATTTGGTTTCATGAAAAATGGCTTTGAAAATGCAAATCACTTTGAAAGCTCTCAATGGCCAATGCACTTAAAATATGTTGTAATACATCAAATGTAATAGTCACTTGTTTTATTGCACAATGATTTTTGATTCAATTACATCATCCACAGCACATTTGATCTTTGACCTTGTTGGTTTGGTTCATGGCTTTGAACTCTTTATGGAGAAAAAGAATGAGTAAAGTACATCCAGAACAATGCTGCTGAAAAGTAGTGCTATGTGTAATCTGAGTCTCTTTCTCTGTGACCTAAATCAAGTAGACGTCATTTGGAGCTCATGCAGACGTGCTTTCATTACACTGAGCTCTATGTATCCAAACTAAGGTTTCAACGGGTTTTTTTATTTATTTATTTTTTTTACTCAAAGGCACTCAAATGGACGACCACATCGCCAGGCGTACGACACAGAGGATCGTAGCGCCACCTGGAGGCCGTTCCAATATCACATCCCTCTCATGAACCTCGTCCACCAGGGGATCCAACAACAGCAGTTCCGCCTCCTCCGGCTTCCAGTTTTATATTACCTGAATCATGCAATGTGTATCCAAACTTAAGGTTTCAACGGGTTTTTTTATTTATTTATTTTTTTTACTCAAAGGCACTCAAATGGACGACCACATCGCCAGGCGTACGACACAGAGGATCGTAGCGCCACCTGGAGGCCGTTCCAATATCACATCCCTCTCATGAACCTCGTCCACCAGGGGATCCAACAACAGCAGTTCCGCCTCCTCCGGCTTCCAGTTTTATATTACCTGAATCATGCAAATATTAATCCCAATAAATCCATACACACTGCCAACCCAATAGGCTATGCAGCAACTCACTATAGCTTTCCATGAATTCATATTCACTATATAATCTGCCTCTCCTCTGATCAGACTCACTCATAATGTAGCATGCTCTTTTATCAGAGTCACCCAGAATCCATTCTGCTTTAGCATAGCATTGATGGCGTAAAGACGGCTAGTGATTGTTGTGTTTGTGAACTCATTCTAGTACTGCCTTTCAACCAGTGCTTTCCTCCTGCGACATGTAGATTCAGACAAGACGATTAAAAGGGAAGTGTGTTTTCTATGGAAGGCCGTTTATGCCATAGAAAAAAATAATAAAAAAAGGTAATTGCAACTTTTTTTAAATTGCAGGAATGAAAATGAAACTTAATTGCAAACTTGGAATTCAGAGGGGAAAAAACTGAATTATGAGATCTAAACTCAGAATTGTGAGATGTAAACTTGGAAATCTGGAGAGAAAAAAAAACAGAATTATGAAATGTAAACTTGGAATTCTGAGGGGGGTAAAATCAGAATGATGAGATATAAACTCAGAATTATGAGACACACTTGGAATTCTGAGAAAAAAATGAAATCTGAGATATAAACTCAGAATTGTGCGATGCATGGATTCTGTGTATGAAATCATGAATTTTGACTTTTTTTTTCACACAATTACAAGTTTCCGACGTTTTTCTCAGAATTGCAAGAAACAACCCAGTGGGCAATTGATGTTGAAAACACATTAAATTGTGTCAAAAACTTGACATGACGTTAATTTGATGTAAATTGAATGTCAAACATATTGGCCTACATATACATTAAATAAATTTCTGTGTGGAATTTACTTCCTATTTTCACCCAATTACCACTGGAAGAAATTGCAGTCCTAACTGAATTTAAAATGATGTTACAGCATCTTGATCAAGTCTTGACTAATATTTGATGTAAAATTGATATCAAGGTGCCTGCTGGGAAGTCACAAGTACCCTTTTTATTTTTTTATTCCATGGCGGAAACAGGCTTCCACAGTTTTCTGCACCAGTAGTGATGCAAAGAACACTTCATCTTTAAGAGATTGTTGTCCTGTCATTGTGCTTTAAAGAAAAATCAAGAACTACCTACTGATGGTCTTAGTGCTAAGATATAAAGAAAAGACAAAAAGAAACTGTTATTGTTAGGCTTATGTTGTATCTGAGACTAGAGCAAAAAATGGATTGTAGACTTCTGCCTCTAGCTGCATTCATGATTTACGGTTTCGTTTTGAAAGCTAAGACTCATCACACAGATACAGCAATCAGCAATGCATTTTTTCTATGTTTCTAAGATGATGTTTGGTGCTCTCAATCTATAGATTCAACACATGCCAATGTGTTACTGTGAGAAATAGTCACTTTTTGAACCCAGATGAACGTTTTTTTTAATTCTTTGAGGTTTATATTCCTGTAATGCATTTAATTACTAAGTCTTTTTGTAGTCTTACCCAGTAATTACTGGAAATCTCCATATTAGATGTAATGTAATTTTCGTGAGATATTTCAGAAGGTCAGTGAAACTGAGAGAAAGCGATCAGTGGATTGTTTTTCTACCTTCTTGTTCATTCTGTAAATATATTGTTTTTTATTTTTGTGCATGGTTTGCATGTCCTCAATAATAAAAAAAAAAGTTTAAAGAAAAATTGCCATTTCGATCATTTCACTATAGTGCGTATGTAGTTTTATTGTTAAGATCCTTAAGATCTTATATATGTGTGTGTGTGTGTGTGTGTGTATACATTATATATACAGTGGGTACGGAAAGTATTCAGAGATTGTTGCAGCAGCTGTCCGGGTGGCTGGTCTCAGACGATCTTGGAGGTGAAGATGCTGGATGTGGAGGTCCTGGGCTGGTGTGGTTACACGTGGTCTGCGGTTGTGAGGCCGGTTGGATGTACTGCCAAATTCTCTGAAATGCCTTTTTTTATTAGTAGTAATAGTATTTTCATGAGACTACGACAGTGCAATAGTGCTATTTAAAGCAAGCGTTGTTTGCAAAAATTCTAAAGTTTTACTAATAACCACTGGTCAAAATATTTTGATATTTTGTATTCCAGAAGTACCTGTATATTAGTATGTATATTGTGCATAGTTTGCAAATCTTCTGCACTTGACCTTCCATTTGCAATGTGATGAATGACGTCATTACAGAATTTTGAATTGAATTAAAAATGCAAAATAAGGAAACATGCAAAGTTACAGTCATGACAATACAACATACAACTGTTTGAAAACTTTGTTGCAAAATGATTGTTTCACCTACTATTTAAAAAAGTAGCTTATTTATACTGCACAATATTCAGTAATGTTAATCTAATATTCAATTCTGAACATGCGTGCTGCCACTGACTTCCTACTTTACATGATGACATTTGAAAGCATTTCAAACGTCTGATTACATTCACAAATGTTTGATTACATACTATTAATGCTTAAGTTTGCTGTTGTAAGATGCTGCAGATGGCAATATACTCTCCTATGTGCATGCGTCTCTCGCTAGATCTGCACTAGTAGTTTGCAAAGTCATGATAACGGCATGGTAAAGAGCATCTGCATGCTAAAGCTCAGGCGAGGGGGAGCGAGTGTCTGTCATCGGCTGGGCTTGATGAGGCTGGACAGCTGGAGATGTCATCAGAGCTCATTCACCCAGAGTTCACAGAGCTTCAGCACAAAGACGACATGAACAACAAGCATTTGATGCTCAAACTTCATTCATATTGGAAGTTTCTTCAGCTGTGCTCAGAAGTTTAGAATTTTCTCAAACCTTGTACTATTTAGTGATTTATACACTACTGTTCAATAGTATGTGGTCAGTAATATTATTTTTTAAAATAAAGTAATAATTTTATTCAGCAAGGATGCATTCATTTAATCAAAAGTGACAGTGAAGACATTTATAATGTTACAAAAGATTTCTATTACAAATGCTGTACTTTTTAATTATCCTAAAAGAAAATCATGGTTTCCACAAAAATATTAAGCAGCACAACTGTTTTCAACATTGATAATACATTTTTCTTGAGCAGCAAATCAGCATATTAGAATGATTTCTGAAGGATCGTGTGACTTAAAGACTGGAGTAATGATGCTGAAAATTTGGTCGCAAGAATTTACATTTCTTAAAAAATATTCAAATAGAAAAAAATTAAAGTGTAAATGTTTCACAATATGACTGTCTTACAGTATTGTTTTGATAAAAAAATAAATAAATGCAGTCTTGGTGACTTCAAAAACATTAAAAAAATCTTACTCAAACTTTTGAATGGTAGCGTTCTAACTTTCATATCATGTTCTTTCCACATCACATTCAGAACTCAAAACACAACCCAAAAATCACAATTTATAGAAACTAATCTTAAAAAAACAGCAGTAATATTCTGGAATATTATTACCATTTAAAATAACTCTTTTCTTTTTTGGATATATTTTAAAATGTGTTCCTATGATGCAACGCTGAATTTTCAGCATCATTACTCCAGTGTCACATGATCCTTCAGAAATCATTCTAATATGCTGTTTTGATGCTAAAGAAACATTTCTGATTATTATCAATACTGAAATGTTGTGCTGATTAATAGTTTTGTGGAAACTGTGATACTTTTTTTTTTTACATCACTTTGGATCGATTTAATGCATCCTGGCTGAATAAAGATATTAATTTCCTTGGGGAAAATACAGTAGTGTATCGAGACTTGCTAAAAGGATAGTTCACCCAAAAATGAAAAAATAAATAAATAGATAAATAAATAAAAATCTAAGTCAATGGCTACCGTCGACTGTTTGGTTACCCACGTTCTTCAAAATATCTTCTTTTGTGTTCAGCATAAGAATTTACATACATACAGGTTTGGAGGTCTGGGTGAGTAAATAATGACAAAATAGTTATTTTTGGGTGAACTATACCTTTAAGTCATTCTTGTACTAGTTCAGTCCTTCCATCTGTTGAGTTACTCCGTGTACACAGACACCTTCTCCGCTAAAATATGCAGTGGATGTCTTTTACATGTATTGGAGAAATACGGAAACACTTTTTCCGTAAACTTTTGCTTATACTTGTACAGCAGAGAGTTGTCTCCGGCATCCGAGAACATCACTCTGCCGGCCTCCCAGTCGAGCTGAACGCGAATCTTCTGAGGTTTCTTCTTGAGCGTCAGAGGAGCGCTGGTGGGCGTCCGCGCGCGGTACTCTCCTCCGCACAGGCAGATGGTCCACATGCTGTGCTCAGGGCTCGGCGGGAGCCACTCTTTACGCTGCACGCTTTCTTTCACCACCCCCAGCGCCCACTCACTGCAGTCTCCCACCTCCACGTCCCAGCTGTGCCGGCCGGAGCTGAAGCCCTCGGAGCCCAGGACGCAGTCGTAGAAGCAGAAGCGCTCGGGGTTGTCCGGGACCTGCTGCTCTTCTTCGGTGTAGCGGATGGTGGTGAGGTCGTCGGACAGAGTGACGCAGACGTCTGCAGTGTTGGGGTCGAGGATCACGGGAGCTGCAGGTTTGACAGGTATTCAGAGTTTAGTCACTTGCAAGATGAGTTTTAAGGCAGTTGCAAGTGATTAAACTGGATATTCATGAACTAAAATGTAAATTCTACTTTGTGAAATAATCAGTATGCTACACTGTAAAAAAAATGATGAAGGAAAACAATATAAGATTACTGGAGTACGTTCACATGAAAATACTAGGCCTATTTTAGTCTTTCTACTTAAATATTTCGTGTTTAATTTAATGTGTTACTTTCCGTTTCTTTGAAATTAATCGTGACAAATTGTATTTAGTTTACCTTTTTTGTGTACTTTTTTAACACACACACACACACACACACACACACACACACACATACACATACATATATATATATATATATATATATATATTATTTAATGGAAAATAAATGGGGGGGGGTTTACACCAATTTTGAACAAAATTTTACGGTCTAAACTTTTAGTTTTTATTAATTTATTTCATAATTTAATAATTTGTTTTAAATATATATAAAAAAAATCATAAAAAAAACATTACATTTTTAATTTAATTTAATTTCAAATCAATTTAATGCATGTAATATCTAAATATTTAACCAAAGGAATATGAAGTTTCTTTCAGTCGAAACTATTAAAATAATAGAAAATATTCTTGATTTGTTTCTCTACCTTCAAAAGTGCAATATCATCAGCTCTCATGGCCTCTTCTGTTGAATTAATATCTAAACATTAGATATTGTTGAGCTAATTTTTAAATATTTAACTAAAGGAATTTGTTAATCAGTTTTTTTATTTCATTTTACAAAGGATGCATAAAGACCAGAAAAAAAGCAGATACATGTCAAAAGTCTGGATCGGTTATACTAGGAGTACAGCGATTAGGAACCAACCTTAATATATAATTTCTAAAAAAATAAAATAAAAAAACTGATGGCTTTCTGAGCACAACAGTAGATTTTGCTCTTACTGTATGTGACAGCGGTCTGCATCTTCTCCCACACTCTGAACTTGAGCGAGCCGATGTGTTTGGCCACATCAATCAAAGCTCCGGAGATTTCCACCGGATCCTGAACGCTGCAGTCCATCCTGCGACAGAAACAGAGAAGCTTCATCAAAAACTGTGAGGTTCATCTGAAACTGACAATGAGCCTCGAACTCAACTCACATTAATGTTACAAGCCATTTGACTTTTTATTTACTAAATAGTCTTGTGGCTGCAGGCTGCTAAACCAATAACCCTGCCTGGGTTTATTCTGCACAAGAAAGAATGAATGAATAAATGTATGAACGAACGAATAAAAAAATATTTTTAGTAACTTTCATTTCGTGTAATTTCCATATCACTATGAATAAACAGTGAAACATACAGAACTCAAAATGCAGCCCAAAATCACAATTTATAGAAACTAATCTTTAAAAAACAGCAATAATATTCTTCAGAAAAATGACTACCATTTAAAATAATAAATAAATAATCATTTTCAGCATCATTACTCCAGTCTTCCAGTCCAGTGTCACATGATACTTCAGAAATGATTCTAAAATGCTGATTTGATGCTCGAGATTATTATCAATATTGAAAAGTATTGATTGTGCAAATATGGATTATTATCAATATTTGCGCAAGAATGAATGGATGGATGAATGAATAAATACAATATTTTTACCGTTCTGATTTCTTCTTGTAGTTCTGTAACAGAAAGATCAGAGAATTTTCAGAAAATGTGCTGCTCCAGTTTCTCTTAAACAGACCAAATTGATATGCATGCAATATATATTTAACCAAAGGAATATGATTTTTCTTTCAATCTATACTATTCAAATAATAGAAAATAATCTTGATTTATTTCCCTACCTTCAGAAATGCCATATCATCAGCGCTCATGGCCTCTTCTGTTGAACTAATGGCTTCTCTTAAGGTCATGATCGCATCTGTTAGTTTGTCCATCTTCTCCTTCATCTTCTGGCTCTTCTGCTCCTCTTCCTCGCTCAGAGCTCTCAGCATGGAGATCTCCTCATCATGCAGGAACTGATGGAGCTTTTCAAAGTTCTCCTTTATCAGACGCACGGTCTTCTGGGCCTGTCTCTGTCCGGAGGGTGGAGAGACGTTCAGAAATTACTGCCACAATGTGTTTGTGCAAAATGTTTAAAAATGTATTAAGTGAGTAATAAAATAGCTAATTACTGAAGTGCACAGTCACATGAAAAGTATATGTGGGATACATTTTAGCCATTAAATTCACTTTAGTCTTAAACACAGTCCTGTTAAAATATGCAAAAGCCCCCAAACAGCCTGAATATCCTGTTAAAGTTGGCTTGCATTGCTCTTTTGACTCGGAGATGTTACCCTGATGTGTTCTGAAGTTTCCTGGCTGGTTTGTTTGGCTGTGTTGAACATCTCCAGCTTCTCCTGCAGGGGTCTGAGAGCTGCTCTCAGCTCCCTCTGAGAACAAAGTGAATTCTTGTCAGTTCATCTGAAACTACCACTAGCATGCTATTGATATAACAGAACCAGAACTTACTGGGATTCACTCCTATAAGTTAGTGCCACTAATTATGAATTTAGAATAATAATAATAATAATAAAAAAAATCTATTTAGTCGTTCTTAGTGTAATCTAGTCTTTTTTGCAATCAATTATCATTGCAGCCCACATTATTACAACACTTATGTTTTAAAGCATCTAGAAAATAGAAATACCGGCCAATGCCGATAATCGCATCTACAGTGGCTGGATATTTTAATGCTGATATTTTATAAACAATCAAGTTATCACAATATTTACTCAAAATATAAAAAAAAACTAATATTGAAATATTTATCAAATATTTATTAAAACATAAATAAAAATACCACAAATATATTTTAAAAGTTTTTAAATATATTTAATAACATTAACAAGACTGCCAATAAATGTTGAACGTAAAACTGCACAATAATTTGAGATTACACCAAATTACATGCTTGAAAACTGAAAATGGTGAAATTTTGGATGATTTATCAGCCTAGCTGATATATTGGTCTATCGCTAAAAGACAGTGTTATTGGCAAAAAACGAAAAATGGCCAAATATTAGGCAATTTATAGTTCAATCGCTACTACATTTATTATTCATTTTGCAGACGCTATTTGTTATAAAATTAACAAGACTGTCATTAAACATGGTACATGGACATGGTAAAATGGTCCAATAATTTGGGATTACACTGAATTACATGCTAACCTCAAAATGGCAAAATATTAGATGAATTATCAGCCTCAAAACAGTCAAATATCAGTCTATTTATAGATCAATCTCTACCACTGTACATTTACATTTATTCATTTAGCGTGACTTACATTTGAAGAACACATGCAAAAAAAGTGAAATAAAATACTTATTTCACACATTATTTACTCAAAATTCAGTAAATAATTATAAAAGTTTATTAAAATATTTATCAAATATTTATAAAATGTATTTGTATTTTAGATTTAGCAAATATTTTTATATAAATAGAAATAATATATAAAAATATATTTTAAAGATTTTTTAAACTAAAGACTTACATTTTGAACTCAAAACTGCATGGTACAATAATTTGAGATTACACTGAATTACATGCTTGAAACTTCAAAATGGCAAAATATTGGATGATTTATCAGCCTTGCAGAAATTTTGGTTTACCACTAAAAGTCATGTTTATCCGCCGAAAAACTTGAAATGGCCAAATATCGGTCAATATATAGGGTCAATTCCTGCAATCACCATATTATAAAATATTTTAACTGACACTTTCAGTAATCAAGTTTAATAACTTAAATGCTGAAGTATTATGCACCTGTTTCTCACCTTACACTCTTGTGTGGCCTCTTCTATGGAGCTGCACTCGTGATCTTCATGTTCCTCGCCCTGACACTGATCACAGATCAGCTCCTCGTCCTCCATACAGTACTGAGTCAGTTTCTCTCTATGCTGTCTGCACAGATCTCCATCCTCCGCCGTCTCTCCACTCTCCACGCTGCTTCCCACCTGCCGCAGCTGCCCTTCAAACAACGAGTCGAGCAACCCCTTCAGCACGCTGTCCAACAACTCGCGGCCGTAGCACTCCGTACAGCCCGGCCCATCCTGGCCGAGCTCTTCTTGGCACAGCTGAAGGCAAGCCTGGCACAGAGTGTGTCCGCAGGGCAGCAGGAGCGACCCTTCACCCTGGCAGCCTGGGCACAAGGAGTCGCTGGAGGGTGAAGAGGGTTGATCGTCTGACATTATGGTAGGATGTTGTCGTCTTCTAAATCAACGTCTGGTCTGCAGCTCTCTGGTTGTTACACAATCACTGCAATGCACTGGGTATCAAAGGAAATCCCCGTTTGGATAGTCGGTGGTCTATTTATAAGCGAGTTATTTTGAAGTGAGCTCTCTTACTTGTTTATATGCAATGGTGTCTGTTTGGAGAGTTTTGCTTGGTGCAGATCACAGGGGAAGAGTTTGTTGCTGAGTCACTAGACCGTGTGTGTGTGTGTGGTCTGGCATTAAAGTGTAAAGTGATACCACTTTCCTCAAGTGCTCTAACATCAGTCAAAACCAAATCACTTTCATCTGCACCAATGCAAAATTTCACCACACTGACAGGAGCAAAGAGTTCCTCTGTTTATCTGCCAAAAAAGGTTGACTACTGT